ACCCCGACTACGGCCCTAATTGTCGACTTTTAATAGTTTCATACACGAAAACGAACCCGTGCCAGGTTCCTAATGTCACATTTTCGAACCAGTCTCACACGCGTACACAGAATCCAGACTGTGCTCAACGAACAATCTGCCCTTGGCACGAATAATCCCTCCCTCCCCTTCCCCTTCCTTCAATATAATTGATAATAAGATTATTTGTAACAGTAATTTACCGAATTAAGCATATTTAAAACTGTCGTTTGTTTGAACAACATTCGTTTTAATGGGATCTCGCGATCGTTTAAACTTCTCGCTCTTCGTGAAACCATGAAGTTTTGGTATTTTGGTAACCTAAACTTGCACGAGGAGGTTAAATCGAATTCTTCGTCATAAAGTGAAATATTCATACTGATATAAACTTCGAAATTTGAAAAAAAAAAAAAAAAAAAAAATGCATTTAACTTTCTATGATATTGTACGTATCATTATGAAAACTTTATTTTACGTGCTTTGAGAAATAGCAAAGATTCTAAAACATAGCAGAAAAATTAAGAAAATACCAAATGACATATTTACGATAACTAATAAGTTTGCAAATTTTAAATTGTAAATAGTTACAATTAATAATCATTTTTTCCTGCTTAAACGAAATTTTGATTATAGAAGATTAAGAGAATTGTGAATAAAGTTACGACAAATCTTAAAATTATCAATATATGATCTCTTCTGTAACTAAACATAAATGAACAAATCTTAAAACAATGATAAACGTGCTATGACAAATTTAATATGACGATAGAAACTTTTAAGCTTGATTGATCGTGATCAAAATTATCTGATCTGATTATTTTAAATTCAATTGTAAATTTATGTAATCTGCAGAACGCATTCACATTAGCATTAGCAGAATGTACATAGTCTACAAATATTTGCACATAGAATTTTCAATAGAAAAATAAGAAATTTTAACATTTCATGGATTTTTTGTTGAACCACGTATAATATTATTGATTATGTTTCTCATATATATATATATATACTTATACAAAAGAAAACATAATTTTGTGTACTATTACTACATTTTACTATGATTATTATCGTATCATATAATACAATTATCATAATTTTAAAATGATCAACATTGCTGTCAAAGATATTTCAATCATAATTTCACCAAATTTAACGTATGAAAGACAAGAAAACTTAATTGACTGAAAATAAATTGAACGTAAGATACTACTCTGCATCTTTCTTTGTCTTTTATATGCAAAGTTCTACAGAATTGTAGTTACATTATCTTGTTAACTAAGTATTTTCAAACACAAATACCCTAATACTTTTGCGTCAAATCTAAGAAGAATATATTGATTGATATAATATTATCCCATTTAAAACAGAGCTGATGATTTTAAAATCTTATAAAAAAAAGTGACTTCAAGAAAGAATCTGCCTTGCTAATATACGAATGTGCCTCATAAAATTGTGCAACACTCGTCCTATGGATTTTTATCTTGAAACTGCGGATAACAAAGGTGCCCATTTAAATGTCGCAGCTTACACAGCAGGATTGGAAATTGTTCAAACAATACACTTCAAAGATGATGAATTGATTAACACGTTATCTTGTGGATATTAACTGGATATTACTTGTAGATAGAAAATTAAATACATGATCTTACTTGATAATGAAATAATTTAAACAAAAGCTTACTTGCTTGTTCGAATAAACGTCGTGGAATTATTTCAAGACAACATCGAGTCGAATGAGATGACACGCTGCTCAAATGATCACCTTCCAAATGTTTCATCCAAACGATACCTGATTTTCAGGTATAAGGAATAAGAGTTTTCGTTTGGTAAAGGAGGCACATCCGTGCTCGGCACATACTTGTCTAAGAAAATCCTGCGAGCGTTATAGATGATTACGCAGTCATCGTGGTTAGGAATTATTTAACGTTTTCAAGGGCTGCTACTGCACGATCTGTCAGTGTTTGCGTATCGGATAGATTGCCCTCCGAACGTCGTATTCGATTACGATACAAGAAGACAGTTGAAGAGTATCGAAAAAGATGGCGTGCGTTAGTGAATAAGGAGCGCGGAGATAGGGTGGAAGAGAGGAAAAACGAGAGCGAAACGCGGTTGGATGTGTGGGTGCTATAGAGAGGACGTCAGATTAGAAGCCAAGGCTTGACGGGCAGCAATGCCACCGGGACAAAAGCCCACCCTGAAGGGGCTGGCATACATATTTTTTATTATATAAATTGGCGTTACAAAGGTTTCCCAAGAATTTATCGCGTTAATGCCTATTACCATCCGCCCTTCCGTACGACAGCCGCGGCTTTTGTTAACGAACGATGATACGCGACCTCATCGACTTAATTTTCTGCCCGAATTTCTTACAAAACCTCCCAATAGTGCAGTAGCAGCGGCCCTTAGAGAAAAAATTCGACAAGAAGATACACAAAGAGACGTAAGAGAGTAAATCATATTTCTCTTCTCATTGTCAGTATATTTTGTAACAGAATGAAAATAATATGTAGAGATAGTAAGTGCAAAATATAAATTTGAATTTAAATGTGAATGTGTATATGTGAAAACTTTTGGAATATCTTGTAAAAGATGTAATTTTAATTTTGTGAAACTTACTCTTAAAAAAGGAAAATGTTTTGGAATTGGGGCATTGAAATTGGATTTGAAAGTAATTTTTATTTGTTTCGCACCCATTGCCAGCAGGGAAGAAAATACTTTGCTGAAAGCCGCATCATTCGACGCAAGCTTTCCAGATCCTTTGTGCAAAGGATTAAAGACTCTTTCGAGCTCTTAATCCGCATGAGCTCGGCTATGAAAGCACGTTTAGTCGTACGTCAATGTCTGATTATGGAGGAAATCGCGTATGTCATCGATAATACTAAAAAGCAACTAAGAAGCAACTTATTTCATCATACTCATCAGTTTAAGAGAATTATTGTTACTGTTTTTAATCCAACATAAATTAGTCATGTATAATCCAATTGTACTTCATCCTATTATAAGTAAAACTAAACTTAAGAATAGAATTAAATAAACAAAATTTTACTTTAAAAATTCAAGAAAATACCTTCAAAGCATTAAAAATTACTAAAATTGCTAATTCGTGCTGAATAAAATTTAATATAAAAACGAATGCAAAGAAAGTATAAACTAAAAAAGGACAGCTTACTTCGTACAAACTTTTGGGCATTTTGTTAGTTTAAAAAATGTCGTTCGAAAATTGAGAAGTTGCTAGTTGAAGGCAAAACAACGTGAAAACTGTATCGCGTACAGAGATCCTTGAAAAAAAATCTTCGAATGCAGAACGAAGACTTCTCAAACAACTAATCTTTTGGATTGGCAGGGCTGGTGCGAGTAAACAACGAGAAGACGAAAGAAAACACAGGCTTTAAAGTCCGCGTTTTCACCGCGATCAATCGTACACGTCTCGAAACTCTGTGTCGGTTTTCCTTGAGGTTTGCTTTCCTTTGCAAGGACTTTAGGCATGCCTCGAGTGATATTGCCAGTGACATGCATTGTCCTATTGTGAAACAGAACTACCCCTTTCTTCCATTTAACCGATTCTACCCCCACCGCAATGCCTTTCGTCGGAGATGTTTTAAATAATATTGAAAACGGAGGTCTGGCTCGATGACTACTCGTTCCATATCCTAGGTGGAGCAGTTCTAAAAACTTCGATTATATCGAAGCTGGCCAGAACGACAAGCCCTCGAGCTGTTAACTTTATTTTAATCTTCGGCGAGAAAGGGAAGTCGTGCTACCCCCTTGAAGAATTTTCATTAAACTTTATATACGATCGCGAATATTGGAAAGGAGAGGCGTGCTTCGTTCAACGCAAATCCTGGAAATTGATTTTTTACTTTTTTATCACCGACGATAAACGCAAACGGACGACAAACCGTGAAATTGGTTGTCTAATTTTAATGAAAAATTTTCCACTGCCCAATCGCTCCCATTATCGACATCCGTTTAATCGGGACATAAATGACGCGTGATAAATTATTCGTGGCTTACAATCTCGCGTATGTAATTGCGTCTCTGTTAAAATTCGCAATAAAGAATAAGCGGTCATATCTTAAGGGCATTTGTTTACAAATAATAAACGAATGGTACTCTCTTAGGACATAGATTCAAACACGAGTGAAAATAATATTTTTAATTTATAGATAGACTGCAATGGATTTTCATGCAAATTTATATTTTTGCGGACGTAGTTGTAAAAATTAAGCTTAAGCAGATGTTTGTTTTCATCGGAAAACATTAAAACAGATACTCTACTTTCGATATTTTACAGTTCTGTTCTGTGGATTGTTCGCATTTTTACGTTCTAAAATTTTTCGCAAGTGCAAACAAATTCGCGGTCTAGTCGTAAGATATAAATGTTTTAGTTGTTAACTATTACGACGAATACTGTACTGTTGTATGTTTTATATACCTATTTCTGTCTATTGTGTGCAGTCAGTGCATTTCAATTTAAATTTGTTATAAGTACATAAACACTCATGAACGAACATTACGTGAACACATACAAATTCATGTCTTTGTAATTACAGAAATTGAACTTCGATTCAGAGATCTGTTATAGTGAGTACCATTTTAGATATTTTACATGTATTCTGTGCATTATTGGATTTTAAAATTTCGCACGAATGCACGAATGCACCTACATTTTATTCATCGAGATACGCGACCAACGAATGTTTCACTTCTAATTGCAAAAATTATTTCACACAAATTAGTTTTAACCCGCTACGAACCAACATATTGTTTATTTACAAAAGAAAGCGATCAATTAATTGCAGGCATTCGCTTCAATGGAAATTGGATTAGAATTAATAATTCTATAACCTTGAAAGTACTCTTATAACGTCTAACTTTCAGGTTACACATTCGAGACGTTGTAAAGAGTTGAGAAACTAATCGACACCGACTAGCGTGTCGAACGTTTTCATTTCGCAAATGACGTTATTAACGAAACTCACCGTGAGTATCGAACTTTCTTATGATAGTTTCGATGATCGTTGTCCTGGGCGCCACGTGACCTCGTCTAACAGGCATCGCAGGAATATTCCCAGGTACCTGGGCCGACCAGACGTTTGGCGTTCGATCGAAGGCTCGTTAAGCCTTGCTTCAATAATTAACGTGTAACACTACAGCACTGAAAAAACACTCGCAGCATGCGTACAAGCACGGTAGAAAAAAGCACAGCACGAGTTGAGCATAATGATCGTCGAGGGCAAAGAGAAGCACCAGCTAATATCGGCGACGATTCGTCACGATTCGTTCCCAGTAGCGTGTAAACCCTGTTTTGTTCTTCCTAAGGAACGACTGGAGAAGAGAGGGAGGGGAAACAACCGAAGAAGAATATTCGTTGCTGCTCGGACGACAAATTGACGTTCCTTTTTTCTTCTCTCTCTCTCTCTCCCGTTTCTAAACTTTTTCCCAAATACAAAAGACGAGGGAGGATTGTGAACGAAGAAAAGTAAATCGGCACCAAGTAAGTTCCGCTTTTCAGTAACACGTGTGCTTTTTACTGCAAGGAACACCTCTCTCTCTCTTTCTCTCTCTCTCTCTCTCTCTCTCTCTCTTTCTCTTTGTAACGTTAATTACTTGTTCCGCGAGTAGTATCGTTGTTTCTTGGTGTTCTTGTTGTACAAAATTCGCATACGAAGCTGCGTGGACAGAGTCGGTACGTGTTGTTCGCCGAACAAGAAGGCTGGATGTCTTCGTTTGACTTCCTTTTTGGACCCAATACTCGTCTATCTAGATGTAACTAAAGAACAGGCTGTAGCATGTTACATATGGTTCATCCTCCCGGTTGATCCAAGGGCACAACGCCTGAAACGTTGTCTCGGCGTGCGTGACACGAGGCACCGCTGTATATACGTATGTAATACCACTGTGTTCCGATGTCTGCCGCCGCAGCTGAAGACGTACGATCCACGCGAGAAAACAGCTATTTATAGTTGATATACTACGCGCCGCACGAAAACGACGTTCCCGCGAATTTCAGAACAGGGTACCAGGAATCTGGGAAACGTCGCGTTGTCGTTAGCGATCCAAGATTTCTTTGTTTCTTTTTTTTTTTTTCTTTTTTCCTTCGTTTCTTCTTCTTTTTGTGCACGAGGGCTTCCCTCCTTCTTCACAAACGGTGGTCCACACGGTTCCTCGAATATATCACGCTGATTGAATTTTCTTCTCGAGTAATCTTCCCCTCCAAGTTTCACGTTCCGTCCGAATCGGGCAATTCCCTTCTTAAGACAACCAAAAGGCAACGTGCCGCGAGCACCTCGACACTCGGCTGCCTCTGAAGAAATTAGAAAGCTGTCCGAGCAACGTTGGCCCGTACGATCGCACCTTCACGGTGAGAATTCGGAGAAGCTTCGACCTCGTCGGCTCGAAGTCAAACTTCCCTGCGCCCGGAGGAATGAACAGCAAACGTCTCGGAGGAGCGCATTGTGCGGACATTTCCACAAAGTGTTATCTCGGTGAATATCTCGGGAAACGATTCTCTCGATGTGCTGTGCGTCTCCACGACGACGAACGTCGATTCCACTAGTTCAGTGACAGAACACCATCGGGTCGAATGCTCGAATCTCACGAACGCTGACACCTGTTCCAGCGATGGTTGCAGAAACGCGAAGCGGGTGAAACGAAAAACTCGCGGGTATCATGGCCGTACGTGTGGATGTGTACGTGTGTATGTGTGTGTGTGGGGGGGGGGGTGTAGCACGTATATACGTAGGAAAAAAAAGCGAAAGAGGAGCGAGGATCAATCGTAAAGAGACAGAGAAAACGAACCGTCGTCGAGACGACGACGAGAAAGGCACGTGGTGGATTTGTTTAAGTTGCGTTTACAATACGAAAATGCGAAAGCGCGGGTTACGATTTTTCTTTTCTTTTTTCTTTCTCTTTTTTTTTTTTTTTTTTTTTTTTTTTTTTTTTTTTGTTGTGCATGATTTTTAACCATTATGTCACAAACTTATAAGGAAACTCACTTTAAACTCTGGACGACTGAATCTTATTATTCAAAAATAATTGTCCATACAAATGGGCGTATTTCAGATAATAAATTCAATAACAGGTATAATCTTTTGAACTCCATTTATCCTATTTTCTCACAAGATATAACATTACTGCTCTTATTATTATTATTTCTTATTGCTGTCTTTGCCTTTCGTGTATAGATTTCACAAAAATTAAAGTTAATTTAAAGATATAATCTTTTAAGCTCCATTTATTCTATTTTTTCATAAAATATAATATTGTTTCTATTACCATTATTATTATTATTTCTTATTACTGTCTTTGCCCTTCACGCGTAGATTTTACAAAAATTAAAGTTAATTTAAAGATATAATCTTTTAAGCTCCATTTATTCTATTTTTTCATAAAATATAATATTATTCCTATCATTATTATTATTATTACTGTCTTTGCCCTTCACGCATGGATTTTACAAAAATTAAAGTTAATTTAAAGACATAATCTTTTAAGCTCCATTTATCCTATTTTTTCATAAAATATAATATTATTCCTATTATTGTTATTATTATTATTATTATTTCTTATTACTGTCTTTGCCCCTGAAGCGTAGATTTTACAAAAATTGGAGTTAAAATATCTCCTAAACTATGGCGCAGAGTTTCATTTTTTTCATAAAGAAACATACAGAGGGCACATAGGATTGTATAGATGTTAAAAAATAGTGAGGTTCACCTAGAAATTTCTAACCACAAAAAAATATTACATCTTATCAAGGCCTCCTCTGTACTAAACAATAATTTTTCCTAACAAAATTCCATCGTTAGTATCTTCAAGCTGGTTCAAGTTACATCACCAAGATTCTCATCCCTGTACGTTCTACTAATTGACGCTGTTTCTAATTGACGCTCTAGAGCCTAGTTATCCTTTAAGGGAGGTTAAGTAGCTCCATGGATTCTGTGTAGTCACTCCGGTGATCTCGGGCCAGACAGATAGAATTCAAATCGAGCGGAAACGCGACCGCGTTGCCCCGTTCGTCACGAGTGCAGTTGTCGATCGTGATCGAATCGACAAGGTGGATACCACGAGCGTCACCCTTTCCCCTTCGATCGGAGACCAGACGTGAAAAAAGAAAAGAGAGAGAAATAGAAAGAGAGAGAGAGGGAGAGAGAGAGATACACTGTCTCTCTCGTTTGCTACGCAGCCTTGTCGACCGGGCTGACGTTCGAAAATCGATCCTGAAACTTATCGAAGCTTATCGGGTAATAACCGACGAAATGACGAAGAGCTGCCGTGAATTCGACGCGTTCTATATACAGTATCGATCTGGCTCTATCCTTCTTTCTCTTCAGTCGTTTATACGATCTCGTAAAGCTCGTTGAACGAGGTTTGCCGGTTTTTCAACCGTGTGCTTTCCGAGGGCAAACTGAAGGATATCAGCAAGGCAATAGCACCGGAATAAAAAGTCGTAATAATGACGATTGCTGTTTAGAACGAGCAGTAGTAACCGTGTTAACCTCTTGCCCTCGAATAACGTGTCACGAACATCGAGAATTCTTTGTCCCAAAATCGTAATATTTTCTCAGTTCTAAGTATATTTAAGTAAAACAAAAATAGGCAAAATAAATAATAAGTTTATTGCTTCTCAATAATTTCTATCCAGTGATATCATATCATACCGACGAGTTCAAAAAGAAAGCGACGAGTTATTGTGCATGTACAGTTTTTGGTCACTCGTTATGGTCCGCAATCAGTTGTCAGCGCAAGTAGTTAACTTCTTGCGCTGGAATGACGTGCCACGCACGTCAAAAATTGTTTATTCCAAAACTGTAATATTTTCTCAGTTCTAAGTATATTTAAGTAAAACAAAATAGGCAAAATAAATAATAAGTTTATTACTTCTCAATAATTTCTATCCAGTGGTATCATATCATACCGACGAGTTCAAAAAGAAAGCGACGATTTATTGTGTACGGTTTTGGTCGCTCGTTATGGTCCGCAATCAGTTGCCAGCGCAAGTAGTTAACTTCTTGCGCTGGAATGACGTGCCACGCACGTCAAAAATTGTTTATTCCAAAACTGTAATATTTTCCCAGTTCTAAGTATATTTAAGTAAAACAAAATAGGCAAAATAAATAATAAGTTTATTACTTCTCAATAATTTCTATCCAGTGGTATCATATCATACCGACGAGTTCAAAAAGAAAGCGACGATTTATTGTGTACGGTTTTGGTCGCTCGTTATGGTCCGCAATCAGTTGCCAGCGCAAGTGGTTAACGTTGGACTGTTCATCAGATTTTCTCTCGGCGAGATACGCCGAAAAAGTGAAAAGGTCAAGGAAAAGGACTAACTCTGATTAAACATTCTTTCGAGTTTTCAAAATTGATAGTGGCATTAGGAAACTTGACTGAGCCCTTGAGCGTTTTGTCATCATACACAATATACATCTATGTGTTTGAACTATTTACAATGCTAGATGCTTAGATATATTACAGTATGAAAACATAAAAATGACGTATTTGATGTTCAAATAATTTATCTGATTATCTATATTATCTATATTATATTATAGTATAATATATGATATACGTATCGATATTATAGTTCAAAATTATAATTACTATGTAATTTAATTTAATATTCTTTAATAGATATAATTTAATTCAATACTATAATATCGATATACTATATAGTACAGTATAGCATAGTATAGGATAGTAAATATAGTTAAATACTATATAGTACAATATAGCACAGTATAGCATAGTAAATATAGTTAAATACTATATAGTACAATATAGCACAGTATAGCATAGTAAATATAGTTAAATACTATATAGCACAATTAAGCATAGTATAGCATAGTAAATATAGTTAAATACTATATATACTATATAATTAACTACATTGAAAACTATTAAATTAAATTGTACAATTATAATTTTCTATCGCAATACTGATATACTATATGAATATTATACCGTAACATACACACGTGTATTAGTATACCGATATTACAGTACACAAAATTACAATTATACAATTTAATTTAATACTCTCGCATTTCATTTACGAGCGAAGAGGAAACGAGTTTCACGAAGAAATTAACGTTCAGTAACTCGATGACTAGAATCATATATAACTATATAATATAATACAATCCTTGCCGTACCAAGAGACACGCGTGCTTTCTTTCACAGTGTTTCCCGATCGTCGTGTCATCGAATACGAAAATTTCCTCCACCTTTCTTGCTCGAAGTTTCGAGGGAACACGGCGGTCTCGCACCGCCGATACACGATTCTTCTCAGGATCGAATCGATCTCCGAAGTTTTCCAACTGGTGCCCGCGGTTTGAATGTAAATTCAGAACGGGAACTGACGGACCGGCATCAATTTGGATATGAAAGAATAACTCGTTCGAACGGAACTTTGTCATCGGGGGAACAAAAGTTATTACCGGATGAGATCAAAGAAAGCGGGTTCGAATGGCGGCTTCAGTTCCTATTCCTTTTCATTCATCGGTACCACCCCCTTTCCCACCCACTGTACGATCCAGATTTCCTTCGTTCGGACAAGACACAATTAAGAGCGAGCCGCGAGCAAAAAGTGCTAAATCGAATACGACCGGCAATGAATGAATTGCGAACGAGCGTTGCTAGCCAAGTGCCATTCCATTCGTCGACAAACTCGGTGGTAACAAACTATCGCGCAGAGAACTCGTTCAGACTCCCCTCCCCCCCCCCCCTTCAACGCGAAGATTTTTATTGTTCTGAAATTGCAAAGTTGCTTGGGAAATGAAATTGAATCGAGCGAGCTGCTCCAAACTCGTCGTCGACAACAACGAGTGCCTAATTATACTTATATTTCGTTTGGTGTCAATGAGAAACCAGAGTCAGTTTCATTCGTTAGTCTTATAAATTTTCGGCGTTTGTCCGTATTCGTCCAATATTTTATTCGCGATTTATTCACGGCTGATTTATTTACGGTCGCACGAACGTGCAAGTCGGATAATTTTTCTTCTACTTCGAGAACGCAGTCTCCAACAAAGTTTTGCGTGATTTGTTGTAGATTTTTTTTTCAGTTATTATATTATATATCAATTATTAATTTACATTATATTATATTATAGTAATTTACATTATATTATTATATTATTATATTATAGTTATATTACATATATTATGTAATATACTACTTTTTTTCAGTTATTATATTATATATCAATTATTAATTATTTACATTATATTATTATATTATAGTAATTTACATTATATTATTATATTATTATATTATAGTTATATTACATATACTATGTTAATATAAGTATAGTAAGTATAATATATAATATAAGTTATATTATATATATTATAATACAATATAATTATATTATATTATAGTTTATAGTTATATATATATTATATATATAGTTATATATATTATATATATATTACATATATTATAATTTATAGTTATACATATTATATATATTACATTATAATTTATAGTTATTTATATTATATATATTATATTATAGTTTACAGTTATCATATTATATATAATATTATAATATTATATATATATAATTATTATATTTTTCAGGTTACCTGAAGACGCTTTCTGTGTACAACTACGAAGAGTTGCGCACACTTTATGCGAAGAGTTCGACAACAATTAATTAAAAATTTCGAAATAAATAAATAAATAAATTGTTGCATCGTAAGTAAATAATTTGCACTCGAAAGAAATGTAGTTGTTATCGTAATTTTTAAGTTGTCGTAATTATTAGTCTCAGTCTTTTCTTCTTTTGGCAATACAACTACATCTTGTTCTCAATTTGTTACAAAGTACTACGCGAGAGTTCAATTTTTACATTAACATTCAGAAGAGCAACTTGATTCATTTGTCCCTTCCAATCAAGGAGCTCGGAATATTGAATTTTTATAAATTTATAAAATGTCGAATTGATATATTTTGAATTTTTATACACGTATTTATGAAACATTGTTTTACGACAGAAGTGCCATAAAAATTTAATTCTTAAAAAGTGTTATTTCGTTATTTAAACATACTGTTGTTTGTTGATGACACTCGTCTTATTCTAATGTTAGAACTATGAACAATCAAAGTAGGGATGTAGGACTGGGAAGTGCAATTGACAGAAATTCGTAATACGAGTTTTTCTAACTTACACGTTTTTTCTGAAAAATCATCGAAATTTCTAAACAATTCACGATATTATAAGTCTAAAA